CTATTGTTATACTTTAGCATTGATTCACTTTCAACTTCATTGCTTATTGAATGGAGTTTCCGCCTGTATTCGAGTAGGTGGGGCGGTAGTCACGGCACCGGCACGTCGTATGTTGGGGATTCCTACCAAGGGGCAGGGGTCTTATTTGGTCGGAGGGAGGGAGGGTGATATTCTGTGGAAAATATTTTCGTTTGTTCTTTCCGCCTCACGCGCGCTGTACTCCCCCCCCCTCCCCTCTCCCTGTTCGAAGATGGTTTTGGTGAAATTCTCCGGAAGTTGGTAGGAAATACGGAAGAATTAGGAAGATGATTGCTAAGATGGGAAGGAGGGTCATACCAGACACGGAGTTTTGAGGGAAGTCGCTGGGAGGGGATTGAGGCGTATTTTGCAGAATTTTCTTCTCAAAGACAAGACGTGCATTGGCGGAAGTGGTTCCGGCTCCTTCCTTTGAGTCTTGCCCCTCTTCTCACTATCTCCGCTCTTTTCCTTAGGTGAAACAAAATATTCATTTTAGCCCATTTTCTCCAGGTGCTCAGCACGAAAATTCCCTTTATTGGAATAGCATATTGATATTTCTCCAATAAATATACCTCCAGATGTCAATCACGGGTTTTGTATTGCGTTTGCGACCGTGGACTTCGGCCGAAACGTGCGATTTCTTCAAAGTATGGATTATTGTTATTGGATCAATTCTTATGCAGTATGTAGGTGAGCTGCCGTTGATTTCACAAGAACATTGACCAAAATATTTCGTCATTTTGAGCTTCCTGTCATTTCAGACACATCCGTGGTGTATCACCAAGTTCGTGGTCAAGGGGTTATAAAACTGTACATCTTCTACAACATGTTAGAGGTGGCTGATAAACTTTTCAGTAGTTTAGGACAGGTATGTTTCAGTAGGTAGTGTGTAAGGAAACCTCCACTAAAATTGTGAAGTAGGATTAGTTGCCACTTTGGTAGTGTTTAGTAACTATTCAGGACATCCTCGACGCGTTATTTTGGACTGCAGATGAGCCAAAGACTTTCAAAAGTGCCATAAGAACACTGTGCCATTTTGGATTTGCACTGTCATATGCCTCTATACATACGTTCCTAGTCCTTTTGCAGGTATAATTAGTAATTTTTGAAGATATCCTTTGACAGTGATTATTAGGATTTACTGAGTGTCAAGGAGTTCGAATCAGACCACGCTTTCCGTGTGCAGCAGAAGCTCCGAAGCTCTGGCTAATGCCGTTTGGACGCACGCAATTTTTTCAGCGAGCTCATTTATAAAGTGCAAGATCACCAAATCCGCTAAAAACTTGTATATAGGGGTAATTTAACATCCTGATTACGAATATGACATTCATTTCTTGGCGCTGGCGCTAATGGATGACACTACGATTATCTGCGCTCTGCTAAGGCTGAGCCCAGGTGCAATCGTAATGTTCTCTCTTGGCGCCAACGTCATATTCGTAATCAGGATGTTAAACTACCCATGTATACAAGTTTTCAGCGGATTTGGTGATCTTGGCACTTTATAGATGAGCTCGCTGCCAATGCGTACGTCCGAACGGCATTAGCCCGAAGCTCTTTGGCGCTGTTATTATGGGCGTTGGTTGGGAGAGCCTCTTGCGGTGCTGCGAGAAAAAGTCGCTGATGGTGACGCCATGTGGGCCGGTCTCGTACCAACAACAATTTTCATGTGGAAGGTAATAGTATCTCGCGACAACTAACTAGGAAGTGCTGACTAGTTTGCGCACCGTGTAGCCCCTGCAGTGTGTATATCATGACCGACATCTTATTCGCCAACACAATCAGTCATAGGGGATAAGATTCCAATATTTCAAGCTTTCAAGACTGGATTCGCTGCTAGGGTGCTGAGTTTCCATGTATGCTGGTTTGGGGACAAGAGTAAAACTCAACGCTGCAGAGCTTGGAATTTATAGTAGGCCTTTGATACTTGAAATGTCACGTAATGGGCTGTCTTAGTAATAGAGTAGAAGAAACTGGAAGGAGGTTTTTGCTGAGTAACTAACAGTATAAATAGTTTTGTCTCTCTTATATCGCAGAAGAGACTGCTCTTAAGAGGCTTTTCGGCTTACGAGCCCAAATTGGCTTACACCAGTTAAAGGCATGACACCGGTGGTACATCCCCTTACTTGAAAACAATTATGTGGCTGTATTCCCATTATAAGAAGAGTTTGTGCTAAATATTTAGAAAGTAATTTCCACCCATTTTTTATGGTTTGTTGTTCTGTGCGTGATTTAGGATCCGGAAATGCACAATTGGTTATAAGTGCCTTTCATTTCAGGCAACGACTTTGAACGTCGCCTTCAATTCGCACAACCAAGCTCTATTGGCTATAATGATGTCGAATAATTTTCGCTCGAACTTAAAGGATCAGTCTTTTAAGAGTTCTGCAAAAGGCGAAGTTTGTTCCAATGCTACATGAGGGTATGTTAATATTAGGTTGGCGGGAAAGTTCTGTCATATATTTTTGAACCCAAAATATTTGCTAATTTTCTGAAAAGCGTTAACCGGTAATATGAGCACTTATACATCAAAGAATGGTCTTTCTATTGGTATCACTGGCTTGACTCCTGCCTCTCCTTATCGTGCAATATGAACAAGAATGTTATCCGCTACCTTTGGCACCGACCCCTCCAAGTGCTTCCTCAAACTCTTTCTTCTACCGCCCTGGCGCCAGCATGACAGCTGTCGACGCCGAAATAACGGAGCTGCACATGGACAATGTCTACAGTCATCTGACAATCTTCCACGACGCTGGCTCTTCAGAGCGGGAGGCTACGGTGCGAATGGCGAAGTGATGTTTGGGAGTACCTGTGATCTCAGCTTGAGATAGCTGTGGGCCGGGAAACTACTGTATAAAGAAGCTGTCTCCTCGGTTAATCCGTACGCAAGGCAGCTACGAGATCTGAAGCGAATCGTCAAGCAGAGGGCAAAATCCATCGGCACAGTCCGTCTTCAACGTGCTGGTGCAGCACACCCCGTCAAAAAAGTTCGAGCCGTACTTCATGCAAAAGAGCTGGATGGCTCTCCCTCTGCACTGGTGTACCCCAGACATTGCTCTTTCTGACTGCTAGTCGCCTCCCGTATTTAACCGTTATACAGCCGAGAAAACCTCCACGACTTGAGCCCAAGTCAAAGTTGAGATGATGTCCAACATTGCGTCGTGCCAGCCTCCATTGTGAAGCGATGGCATCCACGAAGTGCTCGAAAACTGGCAGGGATTCCGCAATGACATTGCTGTATAATTTTGATCTTGTACGCCTCTCTATAAAAAGAAAGCCTTGTTTGAAAAAATGTGACAGAACTTTCCCGCCAACCTAATAACTGTCGAAATTTTCTCCATTAACCAATAGAGGGGGCCCACGAATATAATTGGCCCAGCAGGCCATAGTGTGACGTCGTCCACGCCCACGAACATACACCTCGGAGCTCAACCCGTGGGCAGGCAAACGACTCTTGGGCAGGGTTTTTGACTTTTTGCGGTTGTTTTCGATCCACTCACTTAGCGTGCCCGCTACCATTTTGTATGCTGAGTATTAGATTATCGTGCCTCAGTGATATTGTATGTTGGTCTATGAGCACAACTTTTGCTAGGGATTTGGTCATTATTCGCATAGGAAATGCCCTTCAGTAGGTGTCGCTTGAAAAGAAGATTTGCGATCTTGGGAAAAGAAGTGGATTGGAAAGGTCTATAGTTTGGGAGGAAAAGTGAAGTAGCCGACGCTAGAGGGAGTACAAAAGAGTAGAGGGGAGTGAATCAAAGGTTTGGGCGAAATCGTCTTGCTGATTCGAGAGACGGCAGGCAAGAGTGGGAACCGCCTTACCATTAGAAGTTCAAGCAAGCGACTTTACCTCTCACATTTCTAGTGATGTCCGTGAGCGTTTTCACATAATTGCACTTCTGTTTGTTGTGATGGTTCGCAATATGGTCGCCGTGAATTGGAGTAGTGAGCATCTGCGAGAAATGATGCCCGATATTGTGAGTTTTCCTTTTTTTCTAGCTTGTTCGCAGGACAGATGATCTTTTCAAAATTCCTTTCTTAGTAGATCAGACAGTCAACAAATTACATGATTCATGTTGTGTCTTGATTCAGCTCATGGTTATCGGAGCAGAACTGTTAGTTGATTGGTTGAAGCATGCCTTCATTACGAAATTCAATGAAATAAACGCAGAGGTTTATAGAGGTAATGTTGTTAACTGTCACAAAGTACTCAGATCAATGAATTTGTTTAAGATTTCACGATTACTATAGCCTATGACGTGGTTAGGAGCCGTGATTCGTCTGCCTTTAGTGACTACTCCGATCAGGTGTGTTATATATTTGTCCCTGTTTGATTGCTAGAACTTCCCTCTACTCTTGATTTCTAGTGCGGGGAAATCTTGGAAAAGGTTGTGCATATTGCGAAGGCTAGGGTGATAGATTTGGAAAGGCATTCTGGTCGTTGATTCATACACTTTTTCATTTTGTTAGTGACTGTTGTAAAGCTTTGGTCATGGATATGATTGTTTCGAAGAGATAGAGGTCGAGGGACAAGTTTGCTTGTCCCATACCACTCTCATCTGAGAGTGCTGCAATGCTTCAGGCTTTT